CCCCACCTCTCCGGAGTTAGACTTAAACATAATCTGAACTATTAGACCTTATTTTCATTTCATTTACGTTCGGGTATGTGGGTAGACCTTGAGGAGTGCTCATTTGATAACACCAACATCAATATCAACTATTTACAGAATGAAACCCATCCTTATCTTGCTAGCCGCTGCTACGGCTGGACTAGCCTACCCTGGATTGCCACCATTTCTGGGCAATCTTAGCAGGGTAGCTCAACAAACATACCGTCAAATAACGGACGACAACAAGCTGACAGTCAATCAGGTGCGCGACAAACTTGCTGCGTGGGCGAAAAAATACAACGTTTCGGTAAGTAGTATTGTTGTAATCCACCGTAACGACGAATCAGTATAGCATTCGAAGTACTGTAGAAGGAACTGAACGAATTCTACGCTCGAGAGGAAGAAGACTGGAAAAAGATGAAGAAAAACGTTGAAAATCTGTTGGAAGAATTGTCAACTCTTTACAAACAGATTTTGAAAATCAGAGAAAACAAAGATAAGTCCATCGCGGAAATAGAGAATGAAGTGGAAGAGATCAGACTACGAAACCCTACGGTAAGAATGACTTCACCTATGTGACTTCGAGCCTACCATGTGACTGTAAAGTTTCCTCAAAGTGGTATACGTATTACCTTCTTCAGCTGTTCGAAATAATAAGATTTGCTGAACGACAATTCGACAAATACCTACGAAAGAACCATCTGAAAACTCGTGGTCTGTCAAATGATTCCAAAAAATTAAGCAAAAGAGGCACGAGAGAAAAACGAAGCGCACGTGATGATGGAAAACGGAAGGGAAGAAGAGGCAATGGGAAAGCGGTGAGTTCAGCCGTAAACAAGTAGGTCCAAATGGGCGGATTTAACATAAATGGGTGGGGCCTCACACCAAATCAGATAGTCGATTACTTTTCTGTTCTCTCTTGATTTTGCCAAAACTTTTTGATTATTCTTATTGTTAGTTGACTCAGCCTGATTCCAAAGCTCATAGGTCCCAAGAAAGAAGGAAGTTCGAAGAAAGAAGAAAGAAGTTGATGCCAACGTCAGAAATGGATCATCAACCAGATCTGTTTAGGATAATTGAAAGCAAAAAAGATAAAATTTGAAAAAATCTAATGCTTCCATTTCTATTAGTGGGTAAGGTGGAACGAGCCATAAGGCACACGAGCAAGTTCCAGCCGCTGATGTTGTTTAGGATAATTGAAAGCAAAAAAGATAAAATTTGAAAAAATCTAATGCTTCCATTTCTATTAGTGGGTAAGGTGGAACGAGCCATAAGGCACACGAGCAAGTTCCAGCCGCTGATGTCTGACTTCTTCACTGCAACTTCCAGGAGGTCATATTTATTTATTTATTGAAAGCGTAGACAAGTCTACGTGAGTCATAGACGTGCTAAAGTCAGAACTGGATGACTTTTTGCAGATCAAGCCCCTCTAACTTACTCGTATTTAATTTGCGGTTCGTCTGCATAGTAGATGCCAACCTTCTAACAACTAGTACAGACCTTAAACTTTTAGTTTTTATAACTCAGAAGGTCATTCTACAGTCAGAGTCTGACACATCCTCTATTTGCCATTGACCACGAGAGAGGAGGAGAAGATTTTCGGCACAGCTTCAATGGATACAAACAAGATTTCTCTGACATTTCGAAAGCATAGTAGTGGGTGAAGAGAGGGGGGAGCTGGCACTGAACGGGATCCCTCACCGAGTAGCTGTCCTCATCCATTCATGAGGCGGACCCTTACCTCGCCGTAGCGATCTCTTAATTTGTTGTCTTTGCTAGTTGTCCCACCATTTGGTGATAACGCCAAGTAGGCAGGACACTGCTTTCATCTACGCCCTTTTACTGAGACAGTATTGTCATGGATTGGTTTCGAGAAAAGTCTCTTCCACGCTCTGAGAAAAACCACAGAGCTCCAGAAAAGTCAAAAGTTTACGATTATAAAACTGGTAGGCAGAGATTGATTACACACTTTCTGCAGTCTATATGAAAGAAAAAAAGCTCAAGACTACCTTGTAGCTACTCAGGTCAGCAAATGCTTAATACAGACAGACAGACATAGATAAGGACAAAATGAGTTGGTACCAAAGAAAAACCTATCCTCATCGCCATCAGCCAAGAATTTCTTCCCTTTTGGTCGAATATTCTTTAGGTAGTGACTCCGATTTTACGACGCTGTTGATCTACGTCAAAAACTACAACGGTTATCAGGACATTACCAGAGCCGATTCCCTGGTTCTGGTCCTCGAAAGCTCCCTTCGCTCTACTTCTTTCCGGGTTTCTGTGACGTTTGTCTAGTCTTCATCCGGTTGAGATGGTGAAATCCGGACTGGACTAACCGATCGCCGACGATTCGTTTGCCAACGCTTTTCGGCGTGCGCCCACAACGAATTCCTTCTCTATGAGACCCCCGCAGATTACATGTTCATGCGCACACAGAATCTGGGAAACCAGTTTCTCGACCGGCATACGTGAACTCCCTTTCCCGTTTGTGTGAAGGCAGTTTGCAAACTTGTTGTCGACAAATTTTTTCGAATTTCTGCTCTCATACCACCTACTCATGAGCACGTCGCACACGTACATCCCCACATGCGCGCAAAACTTTTTGATCCTACTAAACCGACCAGCCAATAAGAGCACTAGAACGTGCACTTTAGCGATTTGAAGGATGAAGTCTGCGTGTTTGAACTGCGAACAGCCACGCCCACTTCTGTTTGAGTAACGTTTCCTTCGGTTTTTTTGGTTGAAGTGGAATTGCCCCGCCTTCTCAACACAGTGCACTTTTGAGTTCAACTTTTCCGAGCTGAGGAAGTCGAAAAAACTGTTTCGGAGGTTGGAAAAAAGCTTATTAGGGCTTAACGCGGCTATAAGTTGCTTGAGAAAGTTACCTACTTTGAGAGCGGAGGGCAGGGTACATGAAGCAACTTCGCTGTGGCCCAAACGGCCCTCCTGTTGAATTCTGAGGTTCACTTCTGGTCAATTTCTGGCTTCCCCTACATGACTTAAAGCTAGTAGAAACCCACAAGATCTTCTAAAATTGACTAATTTAGAAAGTCACCAAGTAAACATGGTTCGTCCCTCTTAGTGGGGAAAAAGGGTGAGCAACCCCTCGCAAAGTTGACCATGCCTGAGGAGGCCCAAGCCTTCCCTGCTTGCATTTCCCTGACTACGTCACTTCTCTGACTAATCGCTGGTTCAGAAACTTCGAACTGACGTAACCCAACATGCACTTAGTGTTTACCTTAATTAGTCATCCTATCCCTCCCACACCAGTCATGGACCGGACAATAGTTATGTCAGCTACAGATTAAATAAATAAGTAAACAGTGACATAACACAGGAATAAAAATTCAACAACAATTTGAACAACTTTATGAACAAATATGAAAAATATTATAAAATGCACCGCTCTATGATACAAACAAATTTGTGGATGTGATGTTTCCTTGCATGAAAGCCCCGTGAATGGGAAGGACAGCTGGATTTCGCAGTTGTGTCTGTGGCAGTGACGCCTATGAGCAATCTGAATTCATCACAACATGATATGAGTTGAAGCTATTCAGTAGAAGTAGTTGTTTGGCCGATCATCGAGGGTATGAGCGGCTGGCAGATCGAGATTCACTGGTGGTAGAGTTGAATACGGACGATCTATAGCTGATATTCCGCCGCCGCCATAGATCGATGCTAAAATTCGATCAATAACGAGTGATTTTCGAATCGACTGATAAATGAAACGTAATATATAAAATTAAAAGCACAGTCATAGCAACATGAAATGAAGAATCATCGAAAATCCTAAAAATTCCTTATAATCCGCTCACCGGATAAACTTCCACGAAATCATGGCACTCCCCGGGAACTAGTTTTCTATCAAGAAGAACTGGGTGCTAGAGAAAATCCTGAGCGTTACTGGCACGTTTTCGTTCGACTTAGATGTTTTTCTTGTTTCGCGTCGGTTTCCACTTGTAGTTTGTTGACAGTGAGTCGTGGGTTTTTCCCGTATGATACTGCGGCTGCGGGTAAGCCCGGATTCACGACGCAACACAACCCGGTTTTGTGGTTTCTCATGATTAACCACCCATAGTATCGTATGAATGGGTAGCGAACAGAAACGACGGCCGGCCACGGGGTAGTTTAGCCGTTCGCCCAATACTGCAGAGGGGTACTCTTCGGTAGACGCGGAGAGGTTTGCTCGGTGGTCACTGGACCTTTTTGAGATCGCTGAGCCTTTTTTCAGTTACTCACCTGCAGAGGACATCATTCGAGCGTCATCCTCGATCTCTTGGTCCTTCTGCTTTTTCCGACGATGACTCATACCGTACCGAACCATAGCGAGCAGACAGATCGATATGAGGAGAATCGTCATAATAATCGCTGAATAAATATATGTAATTATTCATCTCCTCGATGCAAAATTTACGAAAATTTCTCACGAATAGGCAAACAACTGCAGAAGCAAAAAAAAAACTGTAATTAGCAATTTGAGCAAGTTACAAATCTTTGAGGTCAGTAAATACTGAAAACCTATTCCGGTTTACAATGCGGTTGGCAGACTCAGAAAATAAGGGAGGTATTTTACAATTATAGTAAAGTCCGTGCACTCTGCTACCCTAACCCATACCAGCTACAGCCCTACCCGAGTTCTACTCCTGAACAAACATTGGGGTCAATTCCAACATGGTTTAGAAGAGAGACGGGACGGAACTATTCATAATGAGTTCTCTTTACTAGCAAACTCAAGAGTGAAGAGGACTACACCTTGCAATGCAATGCTATACATTCATTATACTCCATTCCTGAATTAGTTCTGCTTGGAAAAAAAGGCAGCTGACAGTACAAAGAAAGAAAGAGACTGTACTCCCTCGTCAGCTCATAGCATTCCGTCCCACTCACCCAACACTCATGTTCCTTAAGACGATTGAAACGGGTATGCGTTGGAAGTCTCTCGACATTTCCTTTTTATATTTCGATAAAAGCGGAATTCTTAGCTAGATAAAATCCCTCTCTAAGAAATGTGTCTTCAATCATTATGTTTGGGCTCACCTAATATAATCCATCCTACTAATGACAATGCTCTTCCAGTGAGTGGCTGCGGTTCTTCGTTTTCCAAACATAAGAAATATATTTTAATCAATATGTTTGGGCTCACCTAATATAATCCATCCAACTAATGATAGTGCTCTTCCAGTGAGTGGCTGCGGTTCCTCATTTTCCAAACAAAAGTCGACCGCCCTGAAAATCACAACAATCGTTTAACGACGTGGATGATAAATGAGAATTTGCGTATCACATCAAATGAATGCCACCAGAAGAACTCGATTTGGTCATTTCTGTAGTTTTGAGTGGTCTTTGCAATCTTCCTCAACACCATTAAAATTTTTCACTGAATTCCAATCAATACTCCATCCGCTCGCAAAATTTTAAGTCATTCTCTAGAACATTCAAAACGGTCCGCAAGCTTTTCTCACGTAAGGGGATGGATAGACATTGAGGGCACGCGTGGAAGCTAGTAGAAAGGGCCAGGCGTTTGAAACAAGGGTGTGTTTTCAGATGAGGCTTAGGCTTTGATCAGTGTTATAGGCTGACGCCATTATAATCACTTGAATAAGCCATTGAAGTGAAAAACTTGTAGAGCATACCGTAATGGAGTGCCTTCTGCTGGACAACCGGTCGGTGATGCAGCACATGTAGCTAGGCATCCGGGCTTCTCTATGTCAATATCGAGATTATCACGAAGTAACTGACGGAACCACAGCAAGTCGTTGTTACAGAACCATGGATTTCCTGAAATCGCCAATGGAACCAACTAAGAAGTTCGTTTTAGCATATGAGGTTCCGGCGAACCGCTAAAGGTTCACAATCACATTTGAGGGATTCGACAAATGGTGAAACATTCTCATGGAAAACACTGAAGGAAAATTCCATTCCTTTTTGATTGCATCCAGCAGTTAGCTACCGGATTTTCTGGGAGACTATAGGTGACCACTGGCATCGATCGAAACTATAGACTTTCTGCAAAAAGAGCTTTCGAAAGCCAACGGGTCGCAGTGTGCTGGTTAGGTCCAACAGCAGAAAGCCCAAACTGATCATGATCAAGGCAGTACCCTGGCCCAAGTGATAATATCCTTTGTAGTTTCGAATGACAAGCTATCGATCGCCATTGTCGTCAATCGATTCATCAGAAAATAGGACGCAGTTATTGGAGTGCACTAGGAAGAACTCCACTGAATTATCAGAAACAATGTATCGAAACACGCATCGATATACATATAAGGTAATCATCAAATTACAGGCACCTTGAATGGAGGAAGAAACTAGTCACAAAAGAGAGTAACTTAACCTCTTACAAAACTGTACTACTGACAACAGTATAAGGACGTACCACAGCAGTAAATCACTCGTCTATCATTTGGTCGAGGCAAGAATGAGTTCGTGAAGACATTTTCGGGCAGTGTTTGAAGTTGATTGTAGCTAAATTAGTATATTTTGAAAAAGCAATACAGTAAATATCAGGAAAATGGAAAGAGTCGAACACGAACATAGTCCCACGTAGTACAGCTTTTCGAGAAATTCAATGTTCAATCAAAAACCAGATCTAAGTACGTATAGGGTAGTGACCAGTTACTGGGTACTGAGCCGCATTAGTCGATCAGTGAGATATGGCACCAATCGCCACTTCTGCCGTACGCTCTGTACCCCGTCTTCCTTTAGAATCGTGGTTATTTGAAGGTTCGCGTAGAATATGCTGACTTCCATTAGTCGAACAATGTTTCACAAAATGATGACCCAAGGGTGATGAAGTCGTCTTCAGTTAGCATAGCTCTAATGACAACTCCTTTCAGTAACAACTCCAGGAATCTAATATCGCTTTCACAAATCCTTCATTTCCCACCTTACCTATCAGACAACTCCTATGACTTGTATCGTTTTTGAGGGATTTCCAAATACAGGCTATGAAGTTTGAACCCTTTTGATCCCATGTGATCACCACACCCTGTGCTGTCATAAGGGTTCACCCCACTTCAATCGTTTGTCCATTTCACTCAACGACGGCTCACCGAACCGCGGCCGCACCCAAAATGCTAGCCAAACACCCTTCAGCGACGAAATTCGCTGTATGGAAAAACAACAGATTTCAGCTCACAGCTGCTGCAATGGGCATTGTTTACACTGGAAATACTTTCAGAATGGTTCCGGCCGTTCTAGGATTAGGACTACTGAAAGTTGACAAAATTTTTGCAATGCACCTAACATTTGAATTCCACTCCTAACAACTTTGCCCTTTTGAACCTTCCAAAAGTGTATTTGAAAGTCTGGAGGTGATTTAGTGCCGAGTGCACTACTGATCACATAGTCAAGGTTACAAACCCTGGAAAGATACTTGCCCAACAAAAGAAACCATCCGTTCTGTTAGGAACGGATGAGAGCTTTGTCTGGGAGGATAAACGCTCTGTCTTGTGTATCGGCTGAGCTCCGTAGTCATCGTGTAGACAAACCCAGCTACAACTACAATAAGAAGTCGAATGCATGATTGTACTCCCATACTCCGGAAACGGTATCGATCTAAGCTTGAGACATTTTTCTTCTTTAACTAATCTTGAGCACTGAGCTTGGCCTCACTACAGCTAGACGTTTTGTTAAGTCTATTTTTAGTCAGACAACCATGTCTTGGAATGATCGATGTTCAAAGGGAGGGGCTGTTCCGATGAACTTTGAACCAGACATCGATCCCTGTACTTGGTCGTGGTCCAAATGGTTAATCCTACGAACCGATCGCATGGTAACTCTCCAAAAAGTTTCGTGCCCTCATGTGCACCCGTCTCAGAGGTTCACAACAGGGGATATCATTTTATAATCAAAGCTGAGAGCAAGCACCAGGACAAAGTGTGGTAGAGGTCTACTTCGTTTAATGTCCGCAACTTTTCCGAACTGAGCTTGCATCGTAGTCCTTTGTAAATTTTTGTACTGAGAGCACTTATGGAAAGTCGAGCAACTTGACTGAGAAATCAAGCGCAATACGCCTTAAAATATACCGACACTGTTGGCTTCGGTGATAACTGATAATCAATCTTGATTTTCTTTGTTACCATATCGACTACTGAATGCTAGTAGAGGAGACGAAAGGGTAAAGCGACACAGGTAAGATTGATAATCAGCTGTTATTTTTTTCGGGAGTATCTGGTGAAACCAATAAATAGAGTACCTGATATCAAGATGTGTGAGTGATGGCAGATTGGCGAATCCAAGTGGTTGTACATTTTCGATACGATTACCCTGTACATCCACCGAGTATAGGTCATTAAGTCCTTCGAAGAAGTCAGCGCGAATTCTGTAATCAATAAATCAATGACGGGAAAATAATCCCATGAAGTTTGTATTAGCATGAAAGCCGATATTTCCATCCGATCTAGCTGGTAGGAAGAGCACATGAACGCAAAACAGGAACTTTGATGATGCCATCATTAGAATATCCCATCTGTACTGACTTTCACTTTGAATTTATTTTATCCACTTCTAAAAACCGCTGCTAATTCTGTGTCATAGCGATCCAAACGGAAGGATAGATGAAAGGATCACCCCTAGAGAGGGATATCAAGACTCCACGTTTTTCAAGTGCCGCGTAGTCGATCAATCTTTTTTTGGAAATCTCTTTGAATCCAACAAAAACCACCTATTGACATAACCTTCGAAATCGTTACACAATCAATAACGAAAAAATAAAGAAAGTATAGAAAATGGTTTTCCACGATGAAATACTGCCACCTCACCTACAAATGAATGCTTCAAAGCCACAGGCAGGAGAACCCTCCAGCTTCACAGCCATGATGGTAGCACTACCAGTGCAACCTATCCTTTCTCTAATGGACATTTCAACAATCAGCTGTTCTCTTCCTACTTCCGCTTCCGTTCAGTTTTTAAGAGTTGTGGTATTATACTAGTTCTCTCAGATTCATTACAAGAGCCGTATTCAGTCTATTTTTTTCGGAATGAAATAGAGAATTACTTCTATGCCTAACTTTAGGTCATTTTTCCTCAACAGCAACGAAAGATATTTCTTCTAGCGGTTCCATTTATTTTGGTAAAAATTATGAAACGATTGTGGATGAATCGTTCAATAAGCATTTTTTAAGTTGTGTTCATTGAATTTCACCGTTCATTGATCGTGGAGACCCTGTCTTTTTGAAAATTTTCCAATCGTTCGGTGAAAGGAAGCCAGTCGATATTTGCATATGGTCGATTTGGCCACACCTCTTCACCAACGCATAGATCAGTACGGTAAACAAGAAGCGCATGCGCTGACTACCTACGATGGTCAACATATAAATAACCGACCCGCGTACCGTAGATTGGTTTGGGGAACAAATCTGCTCCAGATGCAATTGCTCGAAATCAGTTATTAGTAATTCATCATCTTACTCTTCTCTAGATGAAAAACCGTGAGAAGTAAGGCAATGCTAATCAGATGAAATCGGAATCGATTCCTTCCAGACATCGAAATCGGGCAATCGATTCCAATTATTCTAGCAGGATAGAAAGAAAGACTATGATTCCACAATTCGATCAATCGAAATAGGTATGTGTTGAATCGAGGAATAGCGAGATCCCAGGCAATACTATTTTGCGTGTGGATCACTGGTCGTATATCATGGTGATGTTTTATGTACATCGCCGATTCGATAGCATATGCAATGAACTACTGGTAGTTAGAAGAAGGGTTTAGAGAAAGACTACGACAACGGGATAGAAACATGCTTAGACCAAGACTGGATTGTAGAACACGTGAAATCACCTGCGCACATCAGAAACTAAACTAAGCTCTTGACTAGCTGACAGAGATGAAGATCAATACGGGCGAAATTCTAGAGTTTTTGTATAACATATAAATGATATTAATCGATGAAATTAAAAACTTGCTATCCAACGAGTTTAAGATCATTCTGGAACTTACTGTGAAAGACGATTCTTATTCAGTACAATCGCCTGAATTTGAGGGGTTCGTTGGAAGGCACCTCGTTCGATTGTGTCAATCGCCGCTTCAGACATTTCCAAACGAATCAGATTCGGAATGTGCTGAAAAGTAAAATTTATTTTCTGGGTAGGAGTCTCATAGCGACAATTATGACAGAAGTGGAACAAAGAAAGAAAAAAAAAACTTTGTTTTTTGAACAAAGACGCCGTATCTAAGCTGCATTTGTAAATGGAGCGGAAAATCATTAAAAATCACCAAAGTACCGCAAAGCAAAGTTTTTTTTTGTTATTTTTAACATAATTTACGCGACAAAAACTATTATTATTATTAGATATACATTACTATAATTAAGTAATGCAATGACGAGCTAATCTTGTTATCAGCCAGATCCAGAGTACGTAATTTAGTGAAAATCACTATAGCCTACATATAGTTCTGTACAGACTTTTTTATTACTAAATATAAACTTCTGACACTTTCAATCTCTTGCTTCTCCTTCCAGATATTTCCAATACTGATTCAGTGCGTCTGAAGGCGAGCAAGGACCTCTGGTAACCATTTCGACTCAGAAATTGTTCTGTACCTGCACCCGGTGCTCAGTTCTTTGAAAACCGGACGAAAAAGTAAATCACGTAAAGCATTTCTACGACTGGACCTGTAGTCTGTTAGCTAAGGCAAACATTAACTACACGGAACCATAAAAACAAGCCGGTTACCGCACGATTCCCCAAACGTGATGAAGCCGGGTCGCAGGGCAAAGCTAACAAACTAACACATAACGATGTTCTGAACTGCTCCTCCATGTTAACCGGTGGGATGAGAAAACATTGGAGTCTTATTTATTTCTATACTGCCTCTATCAAAAATTAAATTCAGAGACTCCGGAAGAATGTGAAAATAGAGTGGTCCGGAAGAATCTTCGGAGATTAGATCGATCGATGCTCTGCAGCGCTTCCCGATTGCTAATCAGAGTACCCTATTTACTGAGTCAATTCAGAGTCAAAGTTTTCAAGTTGAAGGAGCGATCAACGGGAGCGGACGAGGGGATCAAACCAGCCATGGCTTTTTTTTCAAAAAATTTTAAATATTAAGAGGCTAAGGTCAAATGGGGAAGACTGAAACGTCAGTTCGGAAAACGTCTCGCTCCACTAATCATTTCTCCGGTTCAATGCGTAGTCTATTGCCTACAGAACAGTATGCCAGCTGCCCAGACGAAAATCGAAGCATAGGCGATCTTGAATGTAACCGAACAGCAACTGGTCTCCTCTCTTTCTGTTCTTAGAAGCTTCACAGAAAATTTTAGTGGAATACTCAGCAATTTGATCGTTCCAGGAACTAGTTCATTCAAAGCAAAATTTTAAAAATAACGACGATCAAGAAAAAGAGAAGGAACTTGAGAGAGAGAAAGACATGAGAAATGGAGCTCTTCAATACAAATATAAATTTCAAAAATTTTCCCATCATTGTAATAAATAGTAAAATAGCAAAACAGCAAAAATTTCTTCAATTTCTGTTGGATGTGACTACATTTGCTTACTTGCAGTAACTGGTAAGTTAATACAGTACCCATAGTTACAGTGAATTACTCACCATAAAAGCATTGTTCGGAATGACAGAGATCGGGGTCTCACCGATACCTAGCGTTCTCAACTGAGTGATGTAGCGGAACATTTCCGGTGCCCATGATGGAAATTTGTTACCAGTGAGGTAGAGATACTGTAGATTGGGAACACCCTGAACAGGATATGACATTTCTTCCAGGTTTTTAGACCGACACATTTCATTTACAACTTTTCAGAAGAATTTTATACACATGATTGATAACTATTATATGTAGCTCCTCAATTAAACACATTCGATTGCAAAAAAAATTAAGATATTAGGCGCTTCAATCAATTTGATTCTATCTCGTCGGGAAATGCCAAATGATTATTCGTAAGATCCTATCAAATACCAGACGAAGCTAGAATGCGTGGCGCAACCCAAACGACTCGAACAATTTCGAATGCCTTGCATTTCAACCGACTTGCCAAGGTAAACTGAAAACTGGTACGAACCTGAAAGGATTGTGGTGGTATGACAGTGATTCCATTGAATTCGAGTGACAGTGAAGTAAGATTGGGAAAGTCCAAAGCGCCGACTGGTACCTTAAAATATGTGCGCTAAATTCTGAAAAAAACAAGCGAATCAGTGGTTAGGAGGGCGTTATCGAATACCTCATTGATGTTGTTCAGACCAAGGTTGAGGTTCGTTAGGGTGCCACGCTGATTCACCAGGGCCGCCGACGGAATCGCAGTCAACGCATTCGTCTCAAGGGAAAGCTCCTTAAAAAAGTGATGCATTGCCTTAAGCATTTATATAGTAAAAAGCAGAAAACAATCATTAACAATGACCAAACATTAATTAATCATTAATAATAATAAATATATGTTAGGAAACCTTGTCTCTTTAGTATAAACATGAGCGCTAAACTTCCAATCTGTCCGTTTCAACAAGATTAAGGATGATATTAAAGCTCATCAAAGGGACGGGTTGGTTTAGAAAATAAAGAAGTGAGTAGTACAATAACTAAATTGTTAGGAGGGTCTCATCCGCACTGATGGGATCATACGTCAATACGGTGCCCTTCACGGAAGTCCTTGTACCTTTCTGTAACCCATTGACGACCGCGTGGTCCGCCGGCGGGACAACTGTTTCGTGCTCCTGATGCATTTATACTTTTTATCAATTGTTCTTATGATTTCTTCATGTTTTCAAGTATGAGCTGAGCTCATTAGCCTTCTAGAGTACCTTGAAGCATTGTGGTCCAGAAACCATTCATTTCCAACAACAGTTATAAGAGAGAATAATAGGTAATGTAAGGACAATATAAAAGGCACGGTCGCCAATAGGTTAAAGTCTAGCTTTTTCAAAGTTTCGGACATCTTTCCCTTTTTAGGCCTTCATACTTCTTTGCAAGGACCATCTCACATAGGCTTTTCCGTCATAAAATAAAATAACTTCTGTCACCAGCCATTGCAGAACCTTTACCACGACACACCACATCACATCATATCATACCACATCACATCATACCGTACCGTACCGTACGATAACCTGGACCAGAAAGTTCTGCTTCTTTGTCTTTGCAGGGTCGTCCTGGACTATACGAATACACCATGACCTCTCTTCATTCAATCGGCACGTAATGTACCACCCGTAATTCGTCCTCTCTCCCGCTCTTTAAACAATCCGAACTCCATTGGTCCAGGAGGAGGCAAGGGCTTCTGCACAGTTGAAGCGGCGTTTTTATTTACATAGCTGTGGGAGAGATGGCCAGCCCGCTGGCTGGCTGGATGGATGGATAGCTAGCTGGACAACGAGCATGCAAACGAACGATAATGACTCACACATAAAGTATGCACATAATGAACTTTTAAACTCCCTAGCAAACGAGGTTTAAGGAAACAAATCAAATGGACTGGGATTAGTGAGCTTTTCTAGAGAGAATTAAGAAAAATAAGACCATAGGAGGGATAGGGATAATATCATAAAAAGCCCGGGAGGAGTCATATATTGGGAAAGTAAAAAACAAAAAAAAGGTCATTTACAAAAACATTTCGAACTCACACCCTCGATGGCTAAAGAAAGGAATATACTGCTACTTTCGCTATCACACTGTAGACGTATTGAACTATCAAATACTCTATCAGCAAGGAAATCACAACTCAGCGACCTCAATGAAGTACCCAAATGCAGATTAAATATTCTTTCCAAAGCACATTTGACCGTATTTCAGAAAGTACGAAAATGAATGTACGAGTGAAATATCGATTGGATAAACAGAAGAAAATAAATAATTCAAAAAGTTGAAATAAAGAAAAATCGAAAATTTTACAAGACATAGTTCAATGACCAGCAGCATTCGAGGTGACCCGTCCCCTCTTTCTGAACATAGAATTTTACTCGAAATTAGGTAGCCCTGTTTTTAATTGACTTGCATACTCGAGCCTGATTTCGCTTCTCAAGCAAATGTTAAGTGCACGGTGCAATTCCCAAGGACATGACACCTGTCTACCATAATGGAATTTGTTTTTGAATGATTTTTGCCGATAAGAGGGTGCCGAACACAAATTGACTTTCAGTAAGCTAAACCATTCTGTTTGCAAATTTAGCTAATGATTGTTCCAATAACGAAGAGCAACCTCGGAATAAATGGGCTCGATTTAGCAATATCTGCTTAAAGTAAACAAAACATATTGTATATATCTCCCAAAAAATTATTTTTGCCCATAAATTTTCAGATTCCTAGAGTCTTCGCGAATTGAGAAAGGCTCCAGAGAACAGAAAATGTTCAAACTAACAAAATTACAAAAATGACTTGATAATTACTACATTATTTTTAAAATGCAGAAAACACGGACCTGCAGCAGCCGTAGGGGTCGGAAGACGGCGGTGTCAGTGAGTGATTGATCAGTTAATCGATTGCCGGCCAAAGATAGTTTGATGATCAGATCCTTGCTTTCATAACCGGCAAACGCATTCGACGACAGTGTGTTGATGCGATTTCGATTCAAATAGAGCTTTCGTAAATTTCGAAGGCGTGTAAGACCCATCTGAGGGATTTGGCCAAGATTGTTATCATTCAGATCAAGTTCAACCAAAGAGTCCAGCAGTGGACCGTTGAATGCTTGATCATCAATAAACTGCAGTGTGTTACGGTTCAGAACCAACCGCAGAATGGTAAAGCCCTAAAAATATAATGGATCATTGAGGGCACAGTATTTGACCCCTAAACTAGGCTTTTATTGAAATTCGGTGCTAAATTATGAAATTTATGCTTTGTCGTAGTTAGAAGCATAGATTAAAATGTTAATTTCGTAAATTTTCGATAAATACTGGTGTTTTGGGAGCTTTTTACTTCTTCATCCCTCCGACTTCGCGGGGTCCCTCAAGAGACCAGATTGAGGAGCTCAGACGGGATCAGCAGTTCCTTTGCAAAATAGAATTCAAAAACTAGAAACTGCCAAGGAATTTCTAAAGAATGCTCAGGTCTATCTCTAGAGTAAAAAAAANNAAAAAAAAGTGAGATAAAAAGAGCATTTTTTGAGAGTTAGCCACAATTAGTCATGCGAAGTTGTGAATTTACTCAAGTACAGAAAGCACGTGTACACAAAACGCCACGCACAAGCGACTGTCGAAAAAAATCTGAGCTCTAAAAAAATACGAACAGCTTTGCGAAGAAAATACATTCCCAAATATTTGCCCAATAAAACCATAAAGGAATGAGGAAAATATTTAAAAAAACTTTATCAGTGCACAAAGGCTGTGCAGTCACGGTAAGCTTTTGTAACTGGTAAGTATAGCCTAAAAGCCTGCTCCTTACTTCATGATCGGCTTCTGACTACAATTTTCAAATTCTTACTCCCCGATAACCCAGCTAGACGACTGATTGAACCCTAGAGATTTTCTTAGACCTACATTTCGCAAAGAGAGGGGCTATGAACCCCTTCTCTTCGCGAAAAGTAGGCCTAAGAAAATCTGGCAAGGAAAAATAACTCATAGAATCTTGACAAAAATGCATTCATCAGATATCTTCATTGAATTTTTTTAGTAAGCAAAGTCGACCAAACGAGTCGAGGCATGGGAAAAAGCGAAACAATGGCAGAAAGTCTCACTAGAGCATATTTACACGAAAACAGGAAAAACAGAATGAATCACCTGGAATGCGTTCGCTGGAAGACTAGAAATAGCAGTGTCGATGATCATAAGGGAATCGATCTAAAATATAAAGCAATTACCGTAGTCGTATGGTCGAATAGCAAGAGAATGAAAAAAAGGGTTACTGACGGAAGTGTTTCTGGCCGACTGAATCGCCTGTAGTGCATTGTTTAGACTGCCGGCATTTTCACAGATGATAGCCACCGGTTCATAAATGGACGGGGCACATCGGCACGGTCCGCTTACCGGTGGGCATTGGGCATTGACGTTGAGCGTAAGCGACGTGAGAGCGGCAATTACGGCGCCGAGCACCGTGCGCAGCTCTAGCATGGTGCACGAGTGCAGTGCGCGCTGGGGCGGCGCCACCACAACGTCGAAGAACTACCAGCAGCGTCGGTGGCTCCACCGTGCGCCGCCACTGCAGAACCAGCTCGACGTTCCGGAAGAACACGCGGATTAGACACCGTAAAGCGTCGTATTAGCACAGGACGTGTTCTGGTGATGCTTCCATCCGAGCAGTTGCTGAGGCCTAGACGATCATCGGACGTTTCGAAACGACAGGAATTTCCACTGCTACCTAAAACATGCTGTTCTCTGTAAATAACTTCATCGGTTCAAAACTCATGCATATTACGAAAGCGACAAGCGAATGACGTTTTCAGTAACAACATTCCATCATACTAAAGTTATAACCGAGTGCACAGCACCCTTTCAGATCAGTCAGACCGAAAGAAAGCGAAGTATTGACAAATGTCGGTACTATCACACATCCACAGCTGGTATCGAGTCATGTATCGAATTCCGCTCATACCAACCGAAATATTCATTACTCTACAGCCACTTGAACAGAACTGGTATTGAGGGAGAGGATCGAACCGCTGATCCGATTCCAGCTAGTCTTGGAACTTGAGGGAGACGTCTTATATGCGATAAATTACTTCTACGATGTCGAACATAAGGTAAAGGCGTGGCGCACTCCAAAAATATTTTTCAGTGCTGACAAAGTTTTATTACGATTTTAGTCCGAAGTGAGAAAGAAAATTAGGTTTCAATGGAACTAAAGCCTCAGCGCAGTTCGCGAGCGTGAAATATGAGTAGAATCAAAAATTACGGTCGTTCCCTTTGGATGCGTCGTGAATCTGCTTTCAATTGGGACCATGGAAACGTTTGAAAGTGGATCTCAACAGCAAGTCGACTAGATCACGTCGAATTTTCTTGCTTAACAATTTCGTGGCCCCAAATTAAACCCTTGCTTATTGACCTCGAACGGATGAATGGGCTTTGGTAGGCCCTTGTGAGATTATTGTTCAATGGAAGCTACAAATAAAGTGCAACTACTCACCTGAGTGGTGAACGCAACGAGTGTGTTGCGTTACCCTCTTAGGTGGGAGGGAGGGGAGCAACGAATGTGTAGGCGCTTTCACAACTAAATGTTTATGTTCATATGTAAATACTACTTGTTAATTGTCAAACGTTGCCGCCGCAATTATTCCCACTTGCTCTAATTTTGACTAATACACCAGTATGCTTTAGATCGTAGGTAGCACGGTAGTAGAGTTTCTAATTCATCGGTATCCGAACTTAAAGACCCATAGCGACTTCTGAGATTTGATATTTACTTTTCAGCCTCTCTATGATTTCATTCTGGATTTAGATACGTGAAATCGAATTGGAAAGGTCAATCGCCGACGATATTTACGTCCGACGATTTCGTCTCGTAAATCAAATAGAGCCGATTGCCGGATACCATTGACAGCTTCAACATGCGAGTGGCGACTACAAGGTATATTCAAAGTAATTAAGGGAATGAGCAAACCATATGACCATCAGACCTTAAGGATTACTGAGTTACAATTTTTAAAGTAAAGCCAGCAGGCTATCAACACCACTCAACCGATCTGGATGCGCCATGAATTTGTTGCACAGTTAGACTCGTCAAAACATTCGACGATATGCAAAATTGCGTGACCATTGCTAGATACAATCATTCGAGGAGGTAAATGATCAGTATTGAAAAGTTCTTTTATATAAGCCACAGTTGAGGCACTTGACATTACCAACAAAAATTGCGCAGGCCCTTGATACCGTGCCAGCCACGGAAAGGTCTACTGACAATGTGAGTGACACCTCAGTCATTAGAGATTTCGCAGATAGGTGGCCAGATAGAGAAAAGTAACTGGACAGAGGGTTACTCTCGTAAGCTGTACATATTACTGTTGATAGCGATTATGAGTTTATGTGAGCACACAATGGAGTCTCACCGGGCAGCTTTTTTTGTTTTAATCCTGCATCCTATTCCCAAGCAGATTAATACAATTTACTACATTCGCCCATCAGCTAGATTACGCCATGACTTTCATGTCCGACAGGAATCGCAACTTTAAGGCATAATAGGAAATATAACTGCAACCATATGGGCCCAATGGGAAATGATACTTTCTCTGGTCACTGAGCTATAGACCTCGATTGTATCTCCATCTTTGAAATTGTAAGACCTGAAGGTATCGCATTCCTCCAAGACCTGGCCAATACGTACGACTCCGTAACACAACGTCATTCTTCATGAGAAAAAAAGTAACACTTAACAGGCAAGATATCCCAACCGAATGGAATCTGAGGAGAAGCTCAGCAGTTGCGATAAGGCTTCAGAGTGTATTTATATGAGAAAAAGAAAACAGACCTATCTGAAAGTACACATGATGCTTGAAGATGAAAGTTCGTAGAAATTCGAAAGTAATCGATGCTAAGTGAGATACTTTTTCAGAAGGATGCAAAAAGGATTTGAGGTTATTTATCTCCGAATTTGGAGTTGTTCCAGTGCCGACCACTACAGCCAGAAAGCAATCCTTCCAAACATAAACGAAAGGGAAATACCGCTCATCAGGTTATTTGATTCTGTCTAAGGATCAGCTTTTAGTAGAAGAATGGACTCAGGCGAAACATACTGGTATAGTTGCAGAATCAGAAAAACCCAATGAACATGACAGTGATCAAATAAATATTCCAACGTGCAATACTAAAAGATGAGAAACTATTCTCTGAAACATCCCTGGCTCCACCTCCACCACAACAGCTATGTATCTTACTGTTTTTTACAGATCTTCTCTGTTTGTACTGAAGGGAGTGTTCACAATGAGATTTTTCACCTAGATTTCTGTTGAGTATGAACTACGTGTTTGATGCCGATCAGGCTACATCTATTAAAAAAAGCTTATAACTTGCCAAGTAAGTTGAATATCTTCCAAAATTATATCTCCAGAGAATACACCACCTTCCATTGTAAAACACTGTAATTATGTATGCATAGAGAGTGTCGATATAAGTCAGTGAACTAAAAAGAAGTGCTCCACTCCTTCACGAGGATCGGATATAGAAAAATGTCTGTAGGGCAGAAAAGGTCAACGAAAACAAGAAAAAAACACCCAGAAACTCAAACTCAATTTAAGGGACGGGTGTGCTATTACAATACTATCGATGATCCTGCTCACCTCTTCCGTGGCGGACTCGTTCGAACGCGCCTGCAACTCCGAAAAGCTTTCGAACACGTGGCTTAACCCCACGGGATTGATCGATACAAGTAATCATCAAAATTAAGAAAACAAACAAACACAAATATCCCATTTTCATTGCTTATATTGTTTTGTTATTCCGTTTTCCTCACGATTAGCGTTGTATGTAATGTTACCTCTATATAATTAATTTACCCATTTTTTCCAATTGTAGACAAAATATTTCTGAAACTGGTAATAAAAGCGCTTTGAGTTTCCCGAAAAACACGTCCCAGACAACAAACAGAAGCTATAGTTGGTCAGACACACTCACAACAACCGACAAAGGAAAGGGAGCTATTTTCGGAAGCAACGACACGAATTGTAGTAAGCGCATTAGTCGGTGTTCACCACCACAGGAACCGTAACCGATTAAGCAAAGCCGGACTAGTAGCTGATGACTTTTTAGTAACAATTACAGTGCATAAAAAAAGCAGTCGAGACGGCAGGACGGGATATCCTTTTTCTTGACCAAACAAGCCCGTTGGATCCAGCTTATATCTTTGATATCGTCAACGAGGTGTCAATAGAACGGAGGTGAAAAACCTGGCGATGCCAAGGACTCAGCTTGGGAGAACCTCACAACATATGCAAACCATTCTGGAAAGAGGTTGAGAGTAACTTCAAAGCGTTCCGCTTTTATACTGGATATTCAGGTGATGTTTACCCAACGAACTAGGGTTTCATACACAATCACACGCGTCGACTAGTTCACTTGCTTATCAAGACCTTTGAAATCGATGCTGAAAGATCGACAATAATCAAGTCATGACGACCTTCGTAGTCTGCTCTTTAAAACGGAACAAAGTAATGGTCATGATATGCTCTGGAATGCAAACGTTTGTGGCTCTTCCAGCAGAGATCTTGAAGCTGTGGATAAGCCATCAAAATTGATTGTGCTCAAATGAACTCAACTGTTAACCTCATGAAGAAGGTGCTTTGGCTATTGGGGATCAGGTACAGTGGAATTACGATTTGATGCTGTCAAAGGAGAAACGAGCCTATTTGGCCCAAAACAGCAACGACCAAACCAATTGGGAAATAGTCAAAATACACTTACCCAGCAGTATTAATAACATATCCAGCTAGTTACATTCGTTCTCTTTCACGCAACCTCTCAACCCAATACTAAAAGCCGGACGTCCGACCTCCTTGGCCCACCATAGGCAACCCTTAAGCTATTGCCGAATCAAGTTTTTGGGAGAAAATCCCAGCCTAGAATCACCCTATTCATAGCTAAGCTCTTCGCAAAAACCTTTTCATGGAGCAGTGGGCAAACTTGATCCCATCCGCTACTTTCTGTGAATTGATCATTCCCTTTTTGAGCAAAACGCCAACAGGGAGCACAAAATGTCTTCAAAATCGCACCACTCACCACATGCCTGACTTCTAGTCTGAAGCCGCGGATAAAACGTAAAAATATAAATTAACGACCGCCAATAAAAGAGCCACGAAAAAGCGGGTGAAAATGTTGATCAGTATTCTGAGTAAGAGAGAAATCGAAAACCTCAAATAGCAAATAGCCGAAAAACAATGGAAAGCGTCTTGCCGTTCTGAGCCACCAGCTCAGTAAAGACGACGACGGCGTTTTTGCGTTCTGCTCTGGCAAGGTGCCGGCCAGCTGGTTGGTAACCAAACAGTACAGTCAATTTCATTTCTCTCGCGTGCATTTTGAGAGTTTCGATGGACTTTTTGTCGAAAGGTGAAGAGGCTTAGAGTTGGCAAATTCTCGGAAAGACCTGACCTGAACTTGCTAATCGATATAGACGTGACGGCAAGATTGCTGAGTTGTGGGCCAAATTCTAGTCTCAGACAGGAATCAAACTCGAACTCCTGCTTTCATTGATTCTTCCCTTGCTTACCAGTACTCACACGTCGCTGTAGTGTACGGGACAAAAGGTATGGTGTCATCAAAGCAAAAGAATGAGTTGGAACACCGGCTGAAGCCGGGATACCGTCTACAACGGTCTTGTGAAGGCGTTCATGTCGTGAAATGGCAATGAGCCCAAAACAGTAATCAAACAAAGTATCGATAGAAATCAAGTAACGCAAAGCATGAACGGAGAGATTGTGCTCATTCTGATCCGTTACGTTCTACGCCCGTCCATTACCAATGTTACCTTAAGAAACTTTATAATGTGGACATCCCATGTCAACACCTCCTGTATGACATAGCTATACTCCTATGTCGGCTACAGGCTTTCCAAAATCCATCAAAGGCTAAGAAACACAGTCTTGAGGTAAACTGTGCGGCCAGTCTTGTTCTTACACGGAGCCGTCAGGATCACATTCCTATAAGGAAGCCGATTCCGACACGCAAAAGAGATGCCGACAAAGGATGCCGCTTTGAAGCGCCGCTACCCCTGAGGACACGAGTCGACTGGCAATACGGTGTCGCATCTTTTGCAAAGAGCTCTTCTACGAAACTAATACGGTAGAAATCCTGAGGAAGAATCATCTTATGACAGTAGAAATGACATTCATGAATGACATGACATTAGAATTTCAAGCCCACATCTCCTTAAATGGTGCTATAGTTAATCTACCGACCTTGGACTATCGGGTTTCACCGGGTGTCATCCTTTTGTAGAACGAAAGATCCAATCAAATAGACTCATGCAATGGGCGTCGCAGCGAATAATTACACGGCTGCATCGCCTACATAAAAACGGACATTCGATTGAATTCAGCCCAGATCATCCGAGCCGTTCATTTCAACTACAGTCCGAGAAGAAAACCTTAACGTATACTACCTATCGCGAACAAATGTATGAAGTAAGCGTGAGTAAAACACGTTGAATACGTTTTTGAACTTTTGAATGAAAGTCGAATGCGAAATTTGAAAATTTAAGATCATGCCTCTATACTTCAAGAAACTTGATGAAATTGGAGCGTGTGAAAAGTGCTGGAGATTCTCCGAAAATTTCTGGGATCCCAAAAAAAATGCTAGGGATTACTTTAGGTAATGCACGAAACTGGTTGCATAAAGAATTCCAGCCGATAGTTTGGGCCCGGCCGAAATCCTTATCGGGTAGCTAATTCTATGCAGAGACCGAGAGAAACCTCTGAACTCCACTTTCTCCTCATTTCGATTTATCTTCCCTTTCTTTCGGATTGTATTTTGAACGCCGAAGTTTAGATCGGACAATACGGGCTGAGAAAAAGCAACTATAAAAGCGTTGGAATTTTCATGGAGAAACAAATTCTTATAAACAGATCAAGGATTACCTTATATGACGTCATGGTAAAAGGTTTAATTATGTGTTCCGAAAAAAAAAAGATTTTTCTGAAAATTTAAAGTGCTTAATCCGCAAACGCTACCAGTTTCATGCATTTCATAAATGAAATCGAATCCACAGGTATTTCACTCCTAACCCTCCTCCCACTCCTAATTAGCAATTAAAGAGAACTTTCTGCAGGAAGTTTGATTTTCATTCATACAGGAAAGGTACCACTCAAATCATCTATACCGTTGTACTCGTTCGTGCTCTATCAATTTATCATTTGACATTTCCCACGAAGATAGCTGAACATGAACAAGGGACTATATACCTTGGGATACATTGTGGCCCAGCGCCAAAGTGCGATATGCCCTGGGTCACGGTGGCTCAGCGTTCCCAAGATGGCTGTCTACCCTAAGCATGCGAACGTAGAGAATACTGCCAAGAGTAAACGAGGCTGCCAATAACTGTCCTAGACATTGCTATAAAAGAGTTCGACCAATGATAGATTCTCAATCATCGTCTACAGAAATACGGTACGTTCTCTTGCCGATTGATCCTGAATCTGATATTGAATCATAGAATATTCCCAACTATAAACGCCGCTAATTCAGATGCTGTTAGAGTCGCCTCCTCCATCCAAGGAACCGTTTCTGTGTCATTCACCGACTAGGTCTAAGGTGAGCCGAAATTGGTATTTATTAACCTGTTCTTTGAATGCCTTTTTCAGTTACTTATCCTTTGTTTACCAATTTTTTCACCTTATCCACCAACTTTGAGTTGGTACATGAGTTCAAAGAAGTTTCTCTTTAGACCTACCAAGCAACCTTCTCGGCAACGCGGATGACGAGGATACCACGAAGAAGATCGTCAGGCATTTATCCACCCGGATTCCAAGTAATGAGACCGCGACTTGTCACAGCCAGCAATACGCCTGTTGACGATAGTAAGTTTCCTTTCCCAACACTGATGTTGCTAATTCCTAATGAACCCACACATTGCTATTCACTACACAAAGGGGTTCCTGGTCCACAAAAAGGCTTCACTTACTTTGATAATCATTACTATTTGCCCTCCATTGATGCCGGATTATGATCACACGTCGAGTAGGATTGATTTTCGAGCTTTCCTACCGAAATATTGTTGTTCTGCACTTGGTAAGAGATCTAAAAAGCTTTAGAAAGGATTTTCTTGGAAAAAGTAGAAAGCTCAGATAATTACCTCCGTAAAAATAAGCCTAAACTTCCAAATATTTCAGTTGAGAAGAGCAGCTCGATCTATCAGTACTCCAAGAAGAAAACCTACTTTGAACAGTGCTTCAAAATTATCCGCCAACTCGGAAGGGGTGTATTCGGAGAGGTAAGTCAAGTTGTTGTCACAGTAGCAGTACCGATCTTTCAAAGACTTCTCCTGAAATATGCTCTCAATTCCCAGTAAAACTATCGGGAAAAAGAGTTCATTGCAATTGATGATACCCTACCCAAAAAGATTCTGTTCAGGGAAGACTGATGAACACCTATGGAATTTGGAAATATAAAATAGCAAACTAAATATTTTGCAGGCCCTCGAAGTAGAAAGTTTGGAAGACGGTAAACGATACGCCATCAAACGAGCACTTCATACATTTGAAAGTTCTGGAGATCGGCGGCAGAAAGTTCATGAAGCCATGTTGCACGAATCAATCCCGGCACATCGAAATATTGTACGATATGAAAAAGCATGGGAGGAGAGGTAATACAGCTTTTGTTTCCAGTTTCTCACTCGGAAGTATTATATAATTTTAACAGTAAAAAGCGTATTTCCCATCATTCTTCTTACGCAGAAGAGGGAAATATTTTGAATAATGTCAGACTGGATTTATTATTGGTTGCATAATGACATATTTTCTCTAAGATATCCCTTCCAACGGAATACAGGAGGGCTCATATTCTTCCAGTTCTTAGTCCCATTATATAAATTTTTGTAAATCTAAATAGGTTAAGTAGATATTTGCTGTGATAAAAAATCTGAAATAATTAGTGTACTTTGGATAAGCTATTTGCAGTTCTCATGGCTGGCAATTAGGCATAAGCATTGAATGTGAAAAGGGCTGTAGGCCATCTGTTACCAGTAGATTGAAAGACAAAAACGCTCAGTAGAGTAAAATTCACTTTTTTCCAGAGGCAGACTTTACATTCAGACGGAGCTCTGCAGATCCAATCTGGCTGATTATCGACGATGTTTCGGTATCCTAAGGATGAACGAGCTCTATACCGTGTTGCTTGATGTATTACAGGTAAGGGGCAGAAACTAACACTGCCTTAAGTGATAAATCACTAAAGTTATATTCAAAGAGATAAGGGCTGCCCAAAATCTGTTAAAAAGAGATACAGTCCCTAATACTGTCACTGATGTAATGTTACGGTGCCAACCCACGCAGGTATCCTCTGGGGTGGTCTTGGAGGAGAGAAAGGAGGATATTTGCCAGGGTAGCAGCAAAAGAAACGCTCTGAACGTTCCCTCTTCAGTCCTCATCCCCTGACAGTGTTGACTATTACCCACCGAAGAGCCATTTGTTTCCAGGCAGTCAACCATATGCACTCGATGGGCCTACTTCATATGGACGTCAAACCGTCGAATATCTTCATCTCTACTGAGGGTACTTCATGTAAGTTAGGCGATTTTGGCTTAGCATTCAATCTAAACGAGGTAAGTCAACACTTATTTAGCTGATCCAGCAAATAAAGTAGATTAAAATATCTACAAATGGCTAATTCTAATTATAGGAATATGCTTTCTTCCACTACTCCATTCCATCATCATTCCACTCCATTTTTATCTACTGTGAAAGACTTGGAAATCGTAGTTTGTTACAGGACTCTATGGATTCTGCCCAGGAAGGCGATAAGTACTACATGGCCCCGGAAATTCTCAACAATCCTCCTACAACCGCAGCCGATGTCTACAGCCTGGGAATTACCCTTTTGGAAGTACGTTTATGACTTGTTATTACTTTGAGATAACACCACACCGCCATGGGTACGCCACCACGAAGATCAAAGTTCCTACGACAAGCAGAAGATGAAGTGCCCGAACACGGGTACTAATAGTCGTCGTTCGCGCAGGTACCCAGCTTCGACAAGACAACCAAGGAGTTCATTACTATAACAAATTCAGCCTTTTGTCCAATTATATTGTATTAAGCCGAAGTGATCTTTTGGCCTTCGTTACAACTACATAATTAAATAACTATAAACAACTATATTTTCAGCTATCGACAAATGTGGATCTAGAAAACGACAAAGAACTTATAAGGAATGGTAAAGTTCCAAATGCTTTGTTTGGAGGTCAGCGATGATACATTTAAGGGAGCATTGTTCAATCGTTTTTGAATCGAATTAATTATAAAGCAAGTTGTTGAAAGCTTTTGTGTTGCAGAAATCGACCGGAATCTGATTGATATAATCAAGTCAATGTTGGAACCGAACCCACTCAAACGTCCCTCTACAACGGAACTTCTGGAAGCTTTGCGACCACTCCAACTATACACTGCTTCCTTCAGAAAAATGGAGGTATGTAATGGAATTCTGTCGGGTTTGCGAAGCCTTTTACGTCTCAGCGTGGTTTTTGGTTTTTCTCACAGAAAAAGCGAAAGCGAGTTTCTCTGATCCTATCACTTTCTGAATGAACGATTTTTTGGTGCAAAGTAGATAAAATTTTTATCACTTGTTTTATCACGACGCTGTTTTTATGCAAATACCGCGAATAATAATCTTAACTATATCGATATAGCTAGCACTATTCAGGTTCCAAGAATGAATCGTCACCTTGGCACCGAAGACAAGGATTGGGATATCGATTCAGAAGAAGGTTAGTCCCTCAAATTGATTACAAAATAAACTCACAATAATTTTTAAATCTATGGAACTTATGGATGATTAGTAGTGATTAAAAACACAAACAAGCATATAAATCACAACAT